CGGCCTGCGGTCGAGGCATATTCGTGCCTCAGCGCACACCAGAATTATGTTCCATGTTAGTCTGCAGTGCTGTTCCGTTGTAGAATACATCACACGGGGCTTATCCACTCAACAGCTGAAGGGCTTTCAGTTTGCATTTCCTTTTATCACTATCCTTAAGTTTATAAATAAAATTGTATACATTTATAGTGTACAAACTTGATTTTTTAAATTGCTTTTTAGTTCTATGTATGTAAGTGTGTCTGTGAGTGGGTATGTGACAGTTAGTACAGGTGCCTGAGGAAGGCCAGAAGAAGGCCTCAGACAGACCTCCTGACTTTCAGGAAGTTGTGAACTGCCTAGCAGAGGTTCTGGGAACTGAACTCATAGCCTCTGTAGGAACATTCCATGCCATGCATGGTCTTTGCTGCTAAGCCATCTCTCCAGGCCCAAACTTAATGCTCACACATACTGTGGCATGATCACCAGTCGCTTCATATCGTTGTCATGTTTTGTTTTGTTTTGTTTGTGTGTGTGTGTTAACATTTGAAATTTTGTGCTACACTTTTATCTCCCATGTTACCCATAAAAAGTGGATTGTGATAGAATAAACTGGGCTTGAAAGCAGACGATCAAATCACTATCATAAAGGGTTAAACGATGACCGAAAATGACTATTGCCCTCAAGAAGCATGCACCGCCAATATCTTTGTATGCATATTTCTTCGTATTTATAAATAAAATCAGTTATTCCATACATGTCTTATTTGTTTCTCACTTTAATCTGCCGTCTGTGCGTTTATGCTGACATGTTCTGCTATACTGTATGAAGCACATGTATAGAGCTTGTTAATGATTAATATACAAAGGCTAGTTATATGTGCTCAAAACTCTGGTAATAGAGTACAAATTTTAAGAAAATACATTGAAGACGGATGTCTAATGGGAGGAAAACTTATTTTTAAACCCTTTCTGTCTTGTCCGGCTCCATGCTGTTTATAGATGTGAATGGAGAACTTAAAGGCACACGGGCTCGCTCCGCACAGCTAACCACAGTGAAGGGTGGTTGCTAGGTTTGTTTCATGCACACGTGCATTCCTCCTTTAACTCACACACTTCATGCGGTACACAATTCTCCTGCATGGGGTATTTGCACCGGGCACAGGGACACAGGAGCGGGACACGGTGAATGTGGTCCAGTTTCTGAATCTAGCTCACCTGAACCTGTTTTCACATTTGTTCACTTGCTTCCTGTGTGTGTGTGTGTGTGTGTGTGTGTGTGTGTGCATACACATACATATGCCTATGTGCCATGGTGTGGATTTGAGGGTCAGAAGACAACTGTTTGGAGTTAGTTTTTTCCTTCTACAACATGTATTCAAAGGACCCAACTCGGGTGGTCAGGCTTGCTGACAAGCGACTTTTTCATCTCCCACCCTGATCCAAATGTTGGCCCTGTGAGTTACTAAGCACGTGGCTTTGAAGAGTACACCATCTCTTTTTCCATGTCCTAGTTTCTGTATAAAACGGGGGCAGCAGAGCCTATCTCGTAGCTTTCTGATGAACAGGGCATGACCTAATGTATGAAGAATCTTCTAGCTGTGGTCTAATGCGGGGGAGTATTCACTGTGGACCAGCCAGTGAGTCATGAGCACACACACAATCTGCTGGGTATATTCAGGTATGTTACGATTTCTATGCAATGTACATATACTGAATGTGTTTATATTTAATAACATTATTAAGAACATGCAACAATTTAAGTTTATCATGTGTTGCCTTTTTAAAGGTTTATTTTAGTTTTAAGTGTGTGTGTGTGTGTGTGTGTGTGTGTGTGTGTGTGTATCTGCTGTGAATATGGAGGCTAGAGTGACTCCTCTCCTTGGAACTGGAGCCACAGGTCATCATGAGCTGCCCAACATGGATGCTGGGAAGCAAATGCCAGTTGTTTGCAAGAGTAGTACATGCTCTTAACCATTGGGTCATGGCTCCAGCACCACATGCCTTATCTTGATCCTTTTTGAAACAAAACAAAACAAAACAAAACAGATGTAACATAAAAGCACTCCATAGAATACCACATATCATATGTTCATTATTCTCACATTACAAATTAGAAAAACTGGGGTCCAGAAAGGCTCTTCAGAAGCCACACAGCCAGCCTGTGGCTCCAGAACCCAGCTCTATTTATCTATTTATCTATCTGTCTATCTATCTATCTATCTATCTATCTATCTATCTATCTATCTATCT